CCGGCATAGCACTTCTTCTTCTTCTTCTTCTTCTTCTTCTTCTCTGTCTCCCACTCATCTTCTTCTTCTTTCTCTTCTCTCCTCCTCCTCCTCTTTCGCCCATCTTCTTCTTCTTGTTCTTCGACTGCCATACCCTAACGCCATACCCTGCCGCCATACCCCGCCGCCATACCGCCCTGCCGCCGTCGCCATCTTGTCCATCGGTTGGTGGAGAAGGAAGTCGGAGGCAGTTGGAAAGAGGAGGGGCCAGAGGGAAGGACATTGCGAGCTCAAGCGCACCTTCGTCGGGGGTGGTTGACAATGTCCTGACGCCGGCTACGAAACCATCCTTGTTCGTCCCACAACCGGAGGGAAGGCAAACGAAGCTGCAGGGCGAGAAGAATTTTTGGAAGCATGTGGAGCAAGGTCAAGAGGTTGCGCCGAAGGGGCGGGCTGCGGTGTCGGCTATGCTCGACCGTTTACAGGGGCACGAGCAGAAAAGTTGTTGAGCATTTCCTCAAATTGCAGAAGCCTTGCCCTTTCAGGACAGACGAGATATTGCACTAGCTGGTGGCCCAAGGCACGAAGGTGCTGCCGAAGGACAAGAAGACGCAATACCTTTTGTAAAATTACCGGCAACTGCACAACGTTTCACTGGGTGGGGATGCTGTCATTGAAGACGACGAGAATGTGGTTGTACCTCGTGGTTACGAGGAGCCACGTCCGCCGGTTGTTGTTGGGAGGGAGCCAATGGATGAAGTGGTGCAGCGGGGAAAATAAACTGTAGCGGTAGAGGCGGTGAGAGAAGATGGCGATTGCACCACAAGGGTGGCTTCACTGCAGCAAACGACCATCAAGAGATGGGTCGACAACGTGGCGCAGAAAAAGTTGGACGTTGCATTGGCGGAGGCAATGTTCAGAGTCAGAATTGCATTCCAATTCCGGGACTTCGACACCACCCATCAACTGCACAACGTGTATCTCGAGGTGGCGAACGCTACACCGAAGGTGAAGTTGCCATCTTCGAAGCACATTCGGACTGTCATGCTCGAGTTTATTTTCATGCACATTCAAAAGCAAGTGGAGCCTTTGACAAAATGTTGGGATGTCACTGGCTGCACTTTCATCACGGACGGGTCTAACGATCGGAGGGAGCGGCCTGTCATGAACTTCTTAGTGCGGGGTAGCAGGGAGCTGTTCTAGTGGCGACGGTGTACATGGATGGCAAGAAGAAAACGGGAGCAGCGTTGGTGAAACTATGAGAGAAAATAATGAGGGAGATCAGGCTACATCGCATCAATGCGATTTGCACTGACCATGCGGAGGTGAACAAGAGAGCAGCTCAAATTTTGGAACAACGCATGAACCCTGCGGTTTCAAAGATACCTAGGGTTCCCTGTGCTGCACACTGCTGCAGCTTACTGCTAAGGGACATCAGCAAGTTGGACTGGGTGAAGGCTACGGTGAAGCGGGGCCACACCATTGTCAAGTTTATCAGGAATCACCACACGACTAACAATTTTATGATGATGTTGGACTCATCATGGACGCTGTTGCGACCGACTGGGGTCCGTTTCGGGTCGGTGTACCGGATGCTGGAGTGGATACACAACCGGAGGGCAGTTTTGAAGGACATGGTGGACCCAAAGAATGTGGGGAAGTGGAAGGCGATGCGGTGGTCGAGCGCGAAGCTGCAAGTGAAAGCGGATCTCGTGTACTTCACACTACGGAGGGATGCTTGGTGGACGGAGCTAAGGAAGGTGGTGGAGATGATGGAGCCGTTGTATCTCTTACTGCGGAGGATGGACAAGGATGGGACCGCACCGTCAAACCTTGTGGAGTACAACCGACTCATGGAGAGGATGCTAGCGGAGGTTGTGCACGCGTTGGCTTTTCTTCTCGACCCGCGAAGGAGAGATCTAAAGTGGTTGTTGGACCGGGACAACGCACTTGTGCAAAACGCGCTGCGTTATTTGCAGAGGCAAATTGGCGGACATTGGAAGTCCAAGACGCAAGTTGGGATATTGAGCGACCTACGCGAGTTCCACAAGAAACCCACCGCATACGACCCCAAGCGGAAGGACAGGAAGATGTGGGAGGAGGATGCGGTCACGGATGGTGGTTGTATCTCACCGTCGGAGTGGTGGGTAACACATGGTGGCGATGTACCGAAGTTGCAGGCCATTGCTATCAAAGTGATGGGCATGTGGAGCACTGCAACTCCGGCGGAGCGTAATTGGTCCTTGATGGACTTGGTGCACTCCAAGCGACGAAATCCGTTGAAGCCCGCAACCGTGGAGAAGCTTGTGTACATTCATTGGAATATGAATCTGTTGCGGGCGAGCAAGAATGTAAAGGACCATCACTACGTCGATTTGTGGGCGGAGTTCTTCGAGTCTCTTCCGAATGCGGAGGAGGGCGATGATCCTCTTTTGGAGGAACCCGAGGAGGGGAAGGGGAAAACGGAGGAGAAACAGGCGCGGGAACGGACCTTCATCAAGTTATCAAAGGGCCGGATTCCGAAGAACCTCGAAGAAGATGAAGAGAAGCACACAAACGACAACGATGTGGATGACGAGATATAGAAGGGAAAGACTCCATGGTCTGAAACGTCTAGCGAAAAGGAGGCTGAAGACTCGTCCGACGATGATTTTGAGCTGGGAGTGCGACCCTCAATCCCGGGCACCACATATGTTGGGATGAAGCCAACAACACGTCGCCTATACTACCCTCTATGTATCTGAAGATATGACTGAGAAAGCTTATTACTCTTGTTTGTTTTAATTTCATGACTTTATTTGAAAAATTAATTAACTAAGTATGTACGAGAATTCAAATTATTTGCATAAGTTCAAACGGAATGAATTGGGAAAGGCAGAAGGAAAGTTAGTTTTGTTTGCGTATGATCGGGTCAACCTAAGGCTGAGTCCATTCTAAGTCGATGGACTAAGTACTATGGTTTTTTTTTTTTATGGTGGGTCATTTGCTTGACTTTCAGAGGCTGGGACGCTCCATAAGTTGGACGGTCCGTTCACATGTTTTTTTTTGTTTCTGAATGGAGGATGAGACCTATAAGTTGGATACTCAGAATCCTTATGTGTTTTTTTTGTTGAACAGGGTTGGGCTTATTATTTGTGGGTGTTTCAGTTCTATGTTAATTTTTTTAGAGGAACAGAGGCAAAGGGTAGTCACGCTATAAGTTGGTGTGACCACGTCGTGAGCCGTGAACATAAATGAGACCAGAGTATAAAATATTATTTATTTGTTTATGTATTATATCATTGGCAGGCTAGGCGTTATCAGTTGGGAGATCTGACCATATAAGTCAGTAGAGAACAAAGCTTAAAAAAATTAAGAGTCATAGTATGAAATTAAAAGGTAACTTTGCACAAACTGACACATTCATAAGTTTGATAGTCTGGCCTTATGCCCATGATAACATAATACGCATAAAGATAATATAAAAATTGTTTGTTTTTCAAAACATAATTGAGGTTTGGTTTGGGAATTCCATAAGTTGGAGTGATCTGACCATCGGTCATAAGAGAGAAAGAAGTTGTAAACTTATTTATTGAATGTCGTTGTGTTGCAGATGTTGGACCAACCCATAAGTTGGGGGTTGTTCTCTCATATACGCACATGTTGTTTGTCTATGCAAGCTAGACTGCCCATAAGTTGTGTAACCTATTTTTACGCTATATGTCATTGTTTGCGATGACCATCCACACCATAAGTTAATATGTTCTAATTATATGTCTTTTGTCGTTTTTTCAAACAAAGGTTTCATCCCTTATAAATTGAGGTGACTTAGTTATTTGTGCATGTCGAATATTCATGTTGATCAACTGCCTCATAAGCTGTTGTTGCTTGGTTATACGTCTTAGGTCATTTTTCTAGGTTAAAGCAACTCACATCATCAGTTGGTGTGACTTAATCATATGCCTTAACATTTACTTGTTTTACTAGGTAAGAACACCATAAGTTGGTGTGACCTACTCATATAAATCGGCAGGTTAGTCACACTCATAAGTTTGTTGTCTTATCCTATGCTTAAGGTAAGAAAGGGTAAAAGAGGAATAACGAGATACTTAAACGAACAATGTAATCTGTAAAAGAACCTGACGGTTTGTGATAAATGTTATTGTGCTCACTTGTATGTGCTCTTGGGTTTATCTTCTGCAATCATTTTTCGATAGTTTAGTCGCTTTAGATGCTCATTGAGTGTTAAAGCTATAAGCAGATATCATTGATGACGAGAGGGAAGTTTGTGATAAGATATGAGTTACCTCACTATAAGTTAGGACTAGTGTTAGTTCACGATATCATCTTTGAAGAAGGATCATGTTGACTATCTCCAATTTTAACTCTCAAGTGAATGTCAGAAGTTAATCTAAAATATAGTTGTACTTTGCTTTTGCATTTTCAACTTTGTATAAATCTTGACAGCCTCTTTTCCTACGGGAAACGTTGCCGAATTTTTTATAAATATGAAATAATTGGTAATTTTGAAGATGATGTATAAAAACTTTAAAAATATATTTTTTCTACGAGAAGTGCTGCTGAAATTTTAAAAATTTGTAAGAGTTATATTATTTTCTGCCTATAAAAAATTTAACACTCCATTCAGATTAACGAAGATGTTGTCAAAGTTATTGACAACTGTTGCTACCAATCAGAAGAAGATGAGAGAGACGTTAGTAGAGGAGTTAGGCTATGAGATTCAACAAGTCCTCAATTTGGTATAAACGTAGTATTGTTTTTTTGCGGTCTGTAATGTGATGGAGGTCTACATATTTGATTGAAGGCTTGACTCGTTCACCCCAATCCTCCAAAGGATCACTCTTTTTTTATCCTTAAATAACAGGTCAGAGATAGATAGAGAGATAACTCAAAAACCAACAATGTAGCAAAAATTTAAAATGAAGCGTAACCACATTGCTGCAACATGATCCAGAGCATCATGCATCAGACCTTCTTCTCTACGCAACTCAGTCTGAAAAACCAGGGCGTCCGTCCTGCGTAAAATACTACTTTCCATGTCCGAAAACTCTTTAAGTCCCCGGGTCCAGTAAAAATTGGTCCCTGGACAAAAAAACGTTGTGCACTACGAGACCGCGTATGGCGGACACGGAGTGCAGATTCCGAATACTCTCGAAACAACACCTCATAAAACCGAATGAGAAAAACCGAAAACCTAATAAACCGATTAAATAGACCGAAAAAATATAAATATCGAAAAAAATCCGCGATCTCGTCCTTAGGACGCTCACTTAGGTTCGATTACGACAATCTGTTGCCGCCGCAGGTAATCGCCTCATGATTCAGTGAATCGCCCAGCCATCTTGTGTGCACCGCTGAGTCGGGTGGCACAGAGGTACATGAAGACCCTTTCTTATTTTTGTTGTCGTATCCATAGTCAACTTCGCCGTTCAAATTTGGAAAACGTCGTTTCAGCAGATCGCCCAGCTGGTCTTTACCGCCAAAAAGGTAGCACAGACCCTCTGAATGCCCGCCGAAAAAGTCTCTTTCTGGTTCAGATGGTCCCTTACTGCTTTGCCCCCCCTGGACTGCTCGCAGGTGATCACAGGGCCCAAAACCTTACCCTTGCCACTCCCGGTAGCACTTTTGTAGCCAATACATCATCTCTTTTAAAACCCTCCTCCCACCCTTTCGAAAAACTTTTCGAACACGGTGAAAATCTGTTCGGATGGAAACCCCACCCCTTTGAGCTCTCTGTGCAGAGTCATCAGTGCAAGCGGAAGTAGTGCATCCTTATTTGTATTGCTTATGATCCGATGCAATGTTCCGATCGGGATAAAAATCCTTGTGAGGGTTTTTGCCCGAGGTTTTCAAGGTCAGACACTGTCCGACCTTTTTGTTCGATTATGAGACATGATGAGATTGACGTCGTTAAAGTTTATTCAGACCAACCCTATAACTGAGAGACTTAAAGCCTCACGTCGTAGACACATGACGTCATTGACGTGTAACGGCGTTGACGATTGATTGAAACAACGAGAGTCAGCGGTATGGCTTGACGTCTGCGGTTCCCGACAAGGCCACAGTGGTGCGCGGTTGTGGAAGGACTAAAGTTAGACTTACTCTACCTAAAAGGGTGGCGCGCGACCATCGGCCACGCGATTCAGAGCCTATGAGGCTACTAGGGACCATCTTACGAGGATTAAAACCACGATGGTGGCCAAGAGACCCAGTGGCCTGCGCTGTTAAGGGTTGAGGACCACCGCGGCTGATATACGCAGCCTATAGGCGGGGTAGGGCCCGCAACCGGGGCTTGCTGGACCCGAAGCAGGCAAGGCGGCTGGGCCGCAGGCACGCAAACCCTGCTGGGCCACAGGCAGGCGACCTACTGAGCAGCGAAGCCCTTCATATAGGCGGGTCTCCCCTATTCCAATGTGGAATAGGAGCTAGCCCAGTAGGTTATCAAGCTAGACTCTCACCCAGCGGGTACCGCGATCGAACCTGACAAGACACTCCTGGGCTAGCACCTTTTGGGCGCGGCCGTTTTCGGTCGTGCGATCGTTGAGATCGCGCGGCTAAAAACAGTCGCGCGGAGTTAGCATGTCCCCTGCGCAAGGATGACAAACATAAATCGAGAAATGATCAAAAAAAAAAAAAAAATTGATCCCACAGGGAATCGAACTTGGGTCCGTGACTGGGAGGGGCGTGGCCGAAAAGCCACGCAGTGTTCTGGGAACCGGTCGTTGGCATAAGCCAACGTGAAGAAAAAAAAAGTAGAAAAAAAATAAAATAAAAAAAATGATGAACCAAGCGCCAGATGGCGCGATAAACGCTGGTGGGGGCTTGCAGTCACCATAAGCTGTGACAGGCGCCCGTGTTTACAGGCTGCCACTTCGTTTTTTGGCAAGTTTATTTTTTTTTTTTTCTTTAGATTTTTTTTAGATTTTCTTTCTTGGACTAGATTTTGTTTGTTTCTTTATAGAAGCCATACCCGTTCGTTCGACAAATGAGCAGACTTGACATCAACATGATGAGCAAAATCGGAACGAATCTTCAGGCAAAACTATGGCACGTGCAGTAGCTGCACCCCATGCGCAGTGGTTGTGCCACTCTCATAGCAGTTGCGCCCGTTGAAAACGGGCCGCAGGTTAAAAAAAAAAAAAAAAAAAAAAAAGTATGACTGTGTCAGACTGTTTCGTCGGACTTCCACAGACTCATCAGGACGTTGAACCTCGACAGTCTAAGCGGCGGATGAATCCGCCATCAGAACATGGGAGTATACGTTGCCTCCCCAATCCTTTGGCTTGCAGCCCTTTGGCTTGCAGCCAAAGGTCTGCGCCCGTTCGTAAAGAACGGACTGCAGATCGTTGCCTGCACCTGGCGCCGCGTGCGTCCGGGTGCAGGCGCGGGGAAAAAGGGGGGAAAAAATCCCTGTTGAGCTTGACTCTTGTGGTTGGCCGTTCGTTTTAAAACAACGGCTACCCCTTACACAAAAGAAAATAAGGGGCCTTTAGAAAAAAAAAAAAAAAGTAGGACCTGGCTCCTCGGTCCTGATTTAGGTCCGCTGGAGGACCGAAGCTTTCGACGATAGGAAGTTTAGAGGAGACAGAATAGAAGCTGAGTCGTGATACACTTAGGGGGCACTGTCGGGAGCGAGACAGTGCCCTATGTGAGGGTTTGGTGGGGGGTGAGAGTAGTAGAATAGTACAGGAGAGTAGGGGAGGGGGAGTGAGGTATGAGAGTTGGGGGACAGAGTAGGAGAATAAGGGAGATGGAGTGTAGGTAATAAATGGTAGGGGAGTGAAGGTAATGGAGGTTAGAGGTAGGTTGACAAAGCAATTAGTGCTGAGTAGTTTTGAACAGTAGTAAGAATAGGTAGAAGGATTGTTGTGGTGTGTTGTAGGAAAAGTTTAAGCTTTTTGTAATTGAAGACAGGGTGGTGATCATCATAAGCTAAACCGGTTGATGCTGTCGGGATAACTCCGGGTTGAATTGTGAGGGCCCCGGCCTCTTGCTCAACGAATTGATAATATACTTGACATGTTTGATAAAAAAAAAAAAAAAAAAAAAAAAAAGTGGGAGACTGAGGAAAAACGAGGCTGCTAGAACAGCAGCAAAAATAAAAGAAGTTTTGTACCTGGCCACTGTCGCGGCCAGGTTCCCAAGCCGTAGCTAGGGGGCCTGCACCGAACATGGCCAGGTTTAGGAAAGGGGAGAGTTTCCTTTTTGTTATTGTTTGAACCTGGCTACAGCAGAGGCCAGGTTCTCGAATGGTTTGCTGGAGAGCCTAGCTCTGAACTTGGCCAGGCCTAGGAGAAGGTGCACTGCTGAGGTTGAGCCTCAACAGTAGCAGATCAACAAGGGAGGTGGTTGAATACAACCTCCCCTTGCTGAATTTATTACAGGGAAAGGGCCAGGTCCTTTTCCTTGTGAATGGGTCTGGCCATTTCTGCTGTGTGGGCTGGTATGTGCCCTTGAGATCAAGGGCCCAGCCTGAGCTCAAATTTTGGCTGAGAGCTCAGGTTGCTAGCATCACCTCCTACAACTATAAAAGCAGTCAGAAAGCAGCCAGCCAGCAATCGTTTGTGGTTGGTGCTGCTAGCAATTCACCTGAGAGAATGTTGGCTTGCTGTTGTTGGGAGGTGCTGCTAATGAAAGGAGGAGCTGCTACTGGCTGGAGTGAGAGAGAGGGGAGGACTGCTGGAGGTGGCCATAGCTGTGGAACACAGCCATAACCGCCATCTCAGAGGGGTGGAGAGAGAGAGAGCGTCGGAGGTCTGCAGTGCGCGCAAGAGAGGAGGGGCTGCCATAGCCGCCACTTTCCTGGTGCGGTGCAGGGGAAACTCTGCCCATTGTGGACGGGGGCGGCAGTAGTTTTTTTGTGGTGCAGTGGAGACTCTGCCCATTTGTCACTGTGACGGCGGCGCTTTTGGGCAGCAACGCAGAAGCGCTGCCAAACCTTTATGGCGGCGGCACTTGGAGTCGGCGTGATACAAGAAAGTGCTGCCCGGTTTTCGCGGCGACAACATTGTTTTTTTGGCGGTAACGAGGAAGCGCTGTTGAAATACTGGGTACAACTTTGGGTTTGGTGGCGGTGACGCGAAAGTATCGCCGAATTTTTCGGTAACGGCATTAGACTTAACGGAAGTGGTGAGAAAGTACTGCTGGGTTTTTACGGTAGTGGTGGGGGTTTTCGTAATATTGGCTGCATAAGGTGGCGATCAGATATTGACGCGAGGGGGAATATATTAGAGTGGAACTACATTTTAGAGTGTGGTGAGGTTGACGTGGCGAGATTAGGGTAAGAGACGGTTGCATTGGAGCATCGTCTAGTAGTTGTGAGTGATCGTGTGAGGATCACGGCAAGTGATCATCTTTAAGGGAGTGGTGGTGATCGCCTTGTTGACGGCTTGCGTGACAACCTACTCATTAAAAGGCGTGATTCTACGCGGTTTTCTTGAGTGAGCCGCATTCATCTCAACTTCACTTAAGGTCAGTTTCACTCAGACCCTTCACACCTGTGTGAACGCGCACTTGCTTGACCTTGTTCTTCRGACGTTCACTGAAAAGGTAGAGGAAGTTGTGTCTTGTTTACACGTGTGAATGAAAGTCTGACATGAGTTTGGGAATGCATTGTTTTCTTTTGAACTTGTTGTTTTACTTGACGTGCAGGTAGGTAGAAGGATGCCTGAGAATGGAAGATTTGATCATGTTAACGGGAGGGAATGGAAGGATGGTTGTCTTCTATTTCTCGCTTGCATGCATGTTGAAAGGAATGACAATGAGTGGACGACGAAAAGGAACTTTATCACACAAAGAAGAAGAAATCAATTGGACATAGACTTTTTTTCTGAGGCTGCCCATTCTTTCCTGAATGACCCTATTTGTCTATACCCGTCCATCCGAAGGTTCTTCTTCTCTGTGATCTCCTTCTTCGTCTAGGTTCGCCCTTGACGTCAGGCAGTAAAGGGTTGACCGTCTTCTGTGGTAAATGCATTTCCTTTCCTTAGGAGGCATCTGAGGCGGGGGTTCGTTGCCTTAGGGGCCGACCCTGCTAACGACTCGGAGTGGACCGCTTAGGCGCGGGGATACCATGATGTCGTGGTAGGGTCAGCCCGACTTCTGGAATCTGAGGTTCACTCGGGCGAGGACGAGGGGCATCCCAAACCACCTCCTAGGGGATGGACGAGGGGTATCCCAGACCACCTCCTAGGGGATGGACGTGTGCTAGTCACGGAAGGCGCTAAGTTCTTGGCGGCTCACGTTAAGGAGAACCGCTAAAGTTTACCCTTCTAGTGACCGGCCTAGGAGCCACAGACAAATGGGGAACTGGCGCCATAAGAAGCCCAGTTCGTGTGTTCACTAGCTATAGACGGAGTGCAAGTATGCACTGCCTTCGTGGACAGGTTTGCGCCATAAGAAGTGCAAGTCTTGGGCAATCAGGCAAGTTGACAAAAAGACGCGACTGGAGCGTTGCCTTGATTATCTTTATGTCGCAGGCTGGTATTTCATCACTCGGGGAACAGAAAGAGTAATTATTGTCCAGAAGGACAAAGCGACCAACAAAAATTAAAAATGGATCCTTGACTTCAATGAGGCATTAAACGTTCGGTCGTTCAAGTTGAGTACTGACTCGTATAGTGGTAGCCGGACTACTTGCAAATGGCATTCACACCAAAGTTAGAGAAGTGGTGAAGTCATCATTAAAACAATGGCACTCTAACTCTGCTTGAGAGTCGGGGCACTCATATTCCTTGCTAGCAGTCAGTATGGGGCGGAATGAAAGAACTTGGCAACGCATCTCATCCTGTCGAAAAAGTCGTGACGGTCCAACCATCTGGCCGGTAGAGTGAAGATACTTAAGTCAGACGTCATTTGAGCGTCGCTTTATGTATTGACCATGCTTTGTTCCTTTGTTGATAAGCGTTGTTGGAGTCAAGTCGACTCTTGTCGGATAAAAGAAGGGACTAGGATCGCTCACAGTTTTCCTTCGCTTGGAATGTCACGTCCTAGTCGACCGACGTCGGTCCGATTCCTGGGAGATCAGCGCCCCAGGGACGGACCACGTTCGGGTCCACTTTGGCGTTTAACCATGCGTACCTATGCTACAGCGAACGAGCAAATGCCCTCGGTCGGCCTACCTCTGCAATTGTATTATAAAAGTCTTCGCATGTTGGTCAGTAGCTCGGCGGGGATACGGCCCTAAGGGTGGTGACAACCCCTTAGGGAAGGTAAGTTGTGCCCCGCGAGAACCTATCCTGTCGTAGGGGACCGCGGGATGTACAACTAGCGCACTCGGCCGGAGCGGCAAAGGGTCGGCATGGGTTACCGCGTCGTCCCCGAGTTGTCTCTAAAAAGTTGAAAGCCTAAGTTTCTCCTGCGTGACGCGGCCGGGAGGGCCCTCGCTCGCTCGGGGACAGATGCGCTCGACAGGTGGTGCCGTTGCCGGGGATAACGACAAACTACCGTTGTCCCTGGTGGAACGACACTCGGGAATGGAGCAAGTGAAAGATTATGCCGTAGGGGTTGTCTAAGAAAAAAAAGTTAGTAACCTCTGAACTTCTACAAGTGTAAGGAAGAAACCTTAATAGATGTTACCAAACTCCTAGGCTAATTTCTTGAGTTTATGTTTTGGTCCCTAGATGGACGGTGCCGCAGGGCGTCTCGACAACGACGACGATGGGAGGAACGACATTCAAGAACTAGCACTGGTTATCCGGCAGTCGCAGCGAGAACCCTACCCCAAGATTGATGTTCCATTGTTCGATGGGAATCATGCCTCTTCTTGGGCAAACAAGTTTGAGCAATTGGGGTATAGCAACGAATAGACGGATGAGAAGATGCTTCGCATGGTTAAAAGGTACTGTCAGGTGGAATACCGAGATGAGATCGATGAGCTGATGTGAATCTCCCGTAATTGGTCAGATTTTAAGGCGTGGTTGCTGGAGAAGTACCAGCTCAGCGATCGGTTACTCGACTTGCGAGATTTGAGGGCGGTGGATCATAAGAAGTTTGGTACTACCAAACAATTCTTATCGGACTTTGAGCGTGTGGCTCGCCTAATCCCGAATTTATCCGATAAAGATCGCTGCCTCATCTTCCTTGATAACTTCAACGACATCGAGCAATCGAAGTTGGTCGAAGGGATGCAAGGGAGGTATCACTGGACTAAGGTCCGGCAAAATGCGCTAGTGGCGAAGTTCGATGATATCCTCTACCGGTTGTTGAGGCAGCAAAAGGAGGAGCGGGAAAAGGTGAAGCTGGGAGAAGTAAAGAACGGTGAAATTTACAAAACTTTGACCTGCATGAGAGAAATGATGGAGGGCATAAAGGAGGAAAGGCTGAAGTTTCAAGTCATGTTGGCCAAAGAGAAAAAGAGTAAGACGAAAGGGAAAGAGTCAGTGGAAGAAGAAAGTGACAGTGAGAGCGAGGAGGGAAATGAGTCGCCTCGTAAGTTGACAAAGGCGGAGAGGAAGGTCTTGAATCAAATTCGAGGCGGACAGGGGACCTCCCGTAAGCAGGGGAAGAATGGCGGACAAAATAATCAAGGGGGGAATGGCGGTGTTGGCGGTGGTTCGTCCGGACAAAGTTCGCAGGATTAAGGGCAGTTCCAACCATAGGGTGGACGAGGCCGCGGTCGAGGTCGTGGGAACGGACAGCGAAATCGTTGGGCGTGGCAACAGGAAGCCATATGTAACTATTGCGTAGAAAAGGGTCATATTATGCGGTTTTGCCAACTCCTTTCGAAAGATGAGAAGGAGGGCATAGTCTTCACCACGATACGTGGTGAAGTCTTTGATTACGAAGGGAATTTGATCGACCCCGACATTGAAGGGGGTATGAGGAAGGAGGCGTTTCGCCGAATGGGTCGTCCCCTGTCGGCGACGTTCCAGATTGCTTCTCCCGAAGAAGCGCGGTTGGCTGAGGTCGAGGAGGCCATGACTTCGTTACATATTGACGACTCGTCGGTGGAACCAGAAGGGTTTAGGGAACAAATGGTAGAACGAGCGCAAACCGTCACTAGGCGGCTTGCCCGATGCCGGGACTCTATCATCCAACTTTGCGTGGACATGGAGGAAGTCTGACCTGGAATGCCGAATGTCTTTCTCTTTGGCGAATGGGGTGATAAGAGAGAAGATGCGGCTGGTCAAGCACGGACGTCAGCTCCGAGAGAAGTATCGCAGACTGGGCCGATGGTAAGCACGATGTGACCCAGGCCTGTACTGAAGAGAAGTGCTCCGACTGTAGCCGTTCAGACTTAGATGCGGCGACAAAACGAGCAGCTTCAGAAGGAAAGAGAGTCTGAAAAGGCAGTGGAAGAAGAGTCCATCCCCGTTAGTAAGAACGATGAGGATAACGAGGATGAAAAGTTGCGGGCCGAAGAAGAAGAACGGGTTCGTCGTCGTGCTCTGGAAAGGGAACCTGAAAAAGGGAAGACCGAAGCAAGCGAGGAGGAACCGCGAAAGAAGAAGAACATCCACTCGATCCCCGTGAAGCAGGGGATCGATATCGAGCGACTCGTCCATAAGATCCTGGAAAGTCAGCGCGACTTGGTCACGCTGAAGGAAATTTTGGCGGTACCGTCGAAGATTCAAGAAGAGTTTAAACAACGGATGACTCGTGAGACAGTTATGACTGTTAAGCTCGGCGAAGTCATTCCGCCGGAGGCTAAGTGGTCCCCGCCTGGGACAAAGATGGATTGGCGAAGTGTGCCGACCGGCCATATTAAAGTCCAGATTGGTCAACAGAAGTATTCGGCACTCATGGATGATGGAGCCGAGATGAACATTATTCGTGAGCGTCATGCTATTGAAGTCGGGTTGAAGATCAATTGAGATGATTACGGGTTTTGGGTGGGAGCTAGCGGATCGACCTCATTCTGGGGAACAACCGGTGGCGTTCTCGTCACGGTCGGAAAAGTTAAGGTCCGTTCGTATTTCTACGTGTTACCTAGGGTGGAACACGAGGTGCTTCTAGGAAGGGCATTCCTATGTCGATCAGAAAGCATCATCATTAACAAGCATGATGGAACCATGTTTGTTATCCTTTGTGATCCTGTCTGCGGTTACTACGAGGTGGTCAAGTGTGCAAACACTGGACCTTATTGTTCGCGGAACCGGCTGAATCCAGAATCGTATTCTTTCCCGGAGTCAGAAAAGTTGAGAAGGGAGAAGGAATCGTTAGGGGAGGAGCCGAACCCCTCGTGAGTTCTCATTGACCCTGCCTGATATTGGGCAGACAATCGATTTTGTGTCAAGACATGCGGCAGTTAATCCAAATGTGGTGCAAGCCTTGACGGAGATCATCACGGACACTGGAAGCGCAAGAACTATACGTCTTGTTTACTCTCCGTCGGAGGGGAATAAGGGTGAATATCAGGAATTGCCCTCCACTCCACAGGGTCCTTTTTTAGAGGACGCAAGCTTGACACCGGCGCCAAACGTAAGTGCAAGAAAGTAGGTGTGAAGGCGAAGCTGGTACCTGTTCTGATCACTTAGGAGGAGGAAGTCTATTATCGTGAGGAGCGCGAGTGGATCAGAGAAATGAAAGAGAGAGGTGAAAAAGGGTCATGTCGGTTAACCAAAGAAAGAGTGGAAAGTATGATCATTGGGGAGGAGGACCTCCTCACTGGGCAGGAAAAATGGTATACCATCGATATATTGAGGGAGGAACATCTCTCCTATGCGTTTGATGATGATGAGCGAGGAAGATTGGATGTCGATAAAATCCCGATGATCAGAGTTCATATTGTACCACACGAGCCATGGAATGTAAGACGGCCACGTTATCCGAATCCGGAGGATCACCGTAAAGTAGTCGCGTATCTTGATGGAAAGATCCGGACGAAGGTTGCAGATTATTCTTACGGGCCATATGCATCTCCATGGTTCTGTTTCATCAAACCGAATGGTACCTTACGGTTGATTCAGGACCTCCAGAAGTTGAATTCAGTGACAGTACGAGATGCAGGTGGACTCCCACATGCGGACCTACAGTCGGAGTCTTGTGCAGGGAGGTCTATTATTATCCTGATTGATTTATATTTCGGGTATAACCATTTTCTCATTTACACTGCGGATCGGCCCAAGATGGCGATGCACACTCCTCGCGGGTTGATCCATATGTGTGTAGCGCCGCAGGGGTGAGCGAATGTCGTTGCCATTGTTCAGAGATATGTGACGAGGGTTATACAACCTTATTGTCCTGACATAACTTTGCCGTATATTGACGACTTGGTTATTCCAGGGCCTCGAACGAAAGACCTGGCGGAGGTGTTGTTGGGCATTCGCCGCTTTGTCTGGGAGCACATCAATGATGTGGTGAAAATCCTTAAGAGGTTGAAGGAATTTAATCTCACAGCTAGTGGGATTAAGTCTCGGCACTGTATGAAGAGAGCAGTGATCTTGGGATTTCTTTGCGACGAGAAAGGTCGCCGGCCGGATGCGAAGAAGTCTAATAAAATCTTGGAATGGACGACCCCTTTCAAGTCGATCACAGAGGTGCGAAGTTTCCTTGGAACCTGTTGATTCTGACGTATTTTCATTTACAGGTTTGCCACCAGAGTCAGCACTTGCGAAAGCTTGTGCGTAAAGGTCAGAAGTGGGAATGGGGTTCGAAGCAACAAGCGGCCGTGGTAGATATAAAGACTGAGTTCCGGAAAGGCGGATTGATGTTTGGAGTTCCTTTTTTTGATGATGATGAAAAACGTCATTTTGTTATTGAGACTGATGCGGGGCCCACAACCCTAGGAGGAGTCCTGGTTCAAAACTATACCGAGGGGCAGGAAAGACCTCTCAGATTTGAGAGCAGAACTCTGAACGTCGCTGAGAGGAACTATTTCCAGTTCAAAAAGAAAACTTTGGTTGTGCTTCACTGCTTCCGCATCTCTCGGAATTATGTGTTTGGTAGACGCTTCATCCTGCGGGTAGATCCAACTGCTTTGGCTCAATCCTTAAGGAATTATTCACATGTTCATCCCACCGTTGCACGATGGTTGACTTATGTCTGGATGTTTGACTTTGAAATCAAGCGGATTTCGGAGAGTCAAAATCGTGCTGATGGGCTGAGTCGGGTTGAATGGGATCGAGAGTCGGATCAGGCAGAAGAATCAGTTCCGGTTGATGCCTTTCTGAAGGAGGAGGAGTCGCGATTGAGTATTAACTCTCTTGCCTACCTGACTGATGCGGCCACTCGACATGGAAAATCAATATGGAATACTCCCACCTGTCACGAGGTACGGTCAGAGCTCGTGATAGAGTAACCTTTCATTGAGGAGGACCCATGAGGCAAGCAGATCGCAGAGGAAATGATGAAGCTGGCGTTGACCGATGACATCGACCTTGTGCTTGATCCGCTAACAATTGAACAGGGTCATAGGCAGTCTGACGACGCTTTCCAGACCATGGGAAGGATGTCATTCATCATGAACTTGTTAGTTCATGAGGATCGCCTGAGGTTAATGAACACGGAAGAAGGAAGCAGTGAGGTTAAGGAGACGTTTAAGGAGAAGGAGTACGAAAGGGAGTATAAAAAAATAGGCATGTGGTTGAATGGGGAATTGGATGAAAGTGAGGTTGATCCAGTTGTGCGGGAGAAGAGCAAAGAATTCATTGTTCATGATGGTCACCTTTTTAAGAAAGTTGCTGATGGTGTCCCAAAGAGGGTGGTATGTGGAACCTCTCGACAGTTAGATGTGATTGTTGCTCTGCATGATGGGGTAGCCGGCGGGCATAGGTCTACGCGGGTAACTCTGAACAAGATCCAACGTCTCTATTTCTAGGAAGGGATGAGCAAGATGGTGATCGACTTCTGTAAATCTTGTTTCCCTTGCCAACAGAGGTCTAACATCCACTACCTCGAGCCCCTCCTTCCACGGTATGTGGCAGAACCAGGTGCGGTGGTGCATTTGGATCTCCTGGTAATGCCACCTGGGATAAATGGGTACAAGTATATCTTCTGCAAGGTTGAACTACCCCTTCCTTATGACCGAAGCTGATCAGACCCGGCCATACAGTCGAGGCGACCCCATTCACCACAAAAGAAAAGACGATCAATATTTCCCTCATGGTGAGCGGTAATCGCCACCCTCACAAGCAAGGCTCCAACAAACATATTACCACCTTTCTCCCTTTCGATGATAGTATAGCCATTCTCCTCGAAAGGAGAAATGACAACATCCCGTTATGGACCAGGAACAAAGTTCCGGCGCAGGCCTCACTACCGTCTACGGGGCTCACAACATTAGGATTCCTCATTGCATGACAATTAAACAATACCAAGTCATAAGGCATGACGAGCAATCGAATCACATGTTCGACGAATAACATGTGTTAAACCAGACATATGACCCAAGTACACATCATCTCCTTAGACATGCATTCACGAAATCTTGCATTCATAACCATATACACGGAGTTTCATAAGAACTTCGGGTTCTTCAGTCCTTCATATACGTGATGAATACTTTAACAATATAAGTATCCATAAGCCATTTCACTTCTTGCAATGAACATTCAATCATGATAGGAATCTCACAAAGTCCTTTGGTATCACAATCATCTTACGATCGTCGTGACAATAAGGCACAGATCCCTTATAACATTTCACCAAAAAACAGGAGTCACAATCCCATTAAGAACTTTTCAATCTCAATACTTTTATTAATACTTTATAACTTTCTTGGTTAGCCTAAGACAAAAGTCAGAATCAACTGAACCACAATACGAAAGCAAGAAGAATTACCAAAATTAACGCCACCAATTACCTCCTGTACCCTTCCTTTCTAAAAGTTTTCACTAAATTCTTGGGATAAACTTCCGTAGATGTGCACCCGATACCCCATTCCTACTCCGAGATTCATCCAACTTCTCTATTTCGTATGCCCCATGCTCTGTTTTCCTAGTGATCCGATATACTCCTAGCCACCGACTATCTACTTTTCTGGACCACTGTTTTTCTGGTGACATATCATACAACAAGACGATGTCTCCCACTTCCAACGGCTCTTTTTGTACACGTGGCCTCTTGTCCCATCTTTCCTTGTCAGCCTGCCTGCTTTCAGAAGTAGAGACAGCCGCATCCTCAATCTGTTCTTCAGTCGTCATGATCTGTCTTGCCCTCAATTCCAATAGCTCTTCCGTTGAAAGTTTCGTTTCCACGTCCTGTTTCTGCCAAGTGGTCAAGAAACTCTCAATCAAAAAAGTCGCATGTCGTCCAAACCATAATGTGACGGGATCATACCCAGTTGTTCGCTTGATGGTAACATTCTCAACGAAAAAGGTTGCCCTCAAATAATTCGGCCATCTTGATGGGTCCCCCTTGCACCATTTAACCAACAAGTTAGACAAGGTGGCATGTCCTCGTTCGACGAGTACATTGGTCTGGGGATGCGCTCTCGTCATATAACTGAAACTTACCGCAAGCCTTTTCAAAAGCGTTTGCACCTCCTTTGCTCGAAACTCGCCTCCTCGATCCAAAACAATTTCCTGAACAAATGGATAACGAAGGTAATACTCGTCAATGCACTCTGCCAAGACTGACCCAGTACGTTCGCGAATTCACGACCATCAACGAACCTAATCAAATTGTCCCTAGAATACTGGAATCGGAGGGAAAGTGGTGAGGCTCGAGTCTAAAGCGGGGCTTGACGTCGAGATGTTATCCTCTATGGATTACACCACTCATCGACGCATTCACGAGACATGTAGGAGATAAGTCATACATGATAATTAAGTTGGAGCGGGGATTAACCGGGCTGGACAGGGACTCTTGGAAGGATGATTTCTCTCGAGGATGGTGTCGGCACATACTGTAGTACAGTGTGAGTATCCTTGTATTTCATGGGGATTCTGGGTTAAAATCCTGACAGCGAGAGATATGCTGAGGTGTTAGGAATGCACCTCCATGAACATGAGAGGCCCAAGTTAAATTCATGGCAGTATGTGTTGTATGACGAAAGACCCGCAGGGGGTTAAGCCTGACGAGACCTAGATAGGGGGTTATAGCCTGAAGAGAGTACCATCAGGGGGATAAGCCTGACCCATCTATGAGAGACTAAAGAAAGGATGAGTGGCCGTCAGTGGGATGATGCTAGGATCATTCTTCTAAAATGTTCTTGTAATAGTTGGGTAAAGTCAATTCCAGATTCCGGGGAAGGGTCTGCCAGAGGTTATTTCTGGCCCCATTCCAACTAGTGAGTGAATGAAAGATCTTCCGGAGGAAGGTTCGGAAGAATGAGGCTTGAAAGTAAGCCTTTATCTGTAAACGGCTTGAAAATAAGCCTTTGTCTGTGAAAAGCTTGAAAGTAAGCCTCTGCTATGGTGAAAAGTAAGTCAATGTTGGAAGTTATTGTAAGCAATGAAGTCTGCACGGAGCAATTTATAAAGAGTATTCAGAGGATTATGAACGGAATGAAAGATGAACGACGGAAACGTCGCTCGTCACGTATGAGTATGTAAAATCTGAATTAAATCCAGATGCATTGTGATTATGTGATATATTTGGTAAGGTCTTATAAAGACTTTTCCTTCTCCTGCCTATGATAAGCGACAGGGACGTCGCTTAATGGGGGCGGAGAAGGCGGTCGAGACAAAAATCCCTGTGAGGGTTTTTGCCCGAGGTTTTCAATATCAGACACTGTCCGACCTTTTTGTTGGATTATGAGACAGGATGAGATTGACGTCACCAAAGTTTGTTCAGACCAACCTTATAACTAGGAGACCTAAAGCCTGACGTCGTAGACACATGACGTCATTGGCGTATAACGGCGTTGACGATTGATTGAAACAGCGGGAGTCAGCGGTATGACTTGACGTCCGCGGTTCCCGACAAGGCCACAGTGGTGCGCGATTATGGAAGGACTAAAGTTAGACTTACTCTACCTAAAAGGGTGGCGAGGATTCAAAGCGTATGAGGCTATGAGGCTTCTAGGGATCATCTTACGAGGATTAAAACCACGATGGTGGCCGAGAGACCCAGCAGCCTATGAGGCTACTAGGGACCATCTTACGAGGATTAAAGCCACGATGGTGGCCAAGAGACCCAGCAGCCTGCGATGTTAAGGGTTGAGGACCACCGCGGCTGATATACGCAGCCGATAGGTGGGGTAGGGCCCGCAAGCAGGGCTTGCTGGGCCCTAAGCAGTAAGGCGGATGGGTTGCAGGCAGGCAAAGCCTGCTGGGCCACAGGCAGGCGACCTACTGAGCAGCAAAGCCCTTCATATAGGCGGATCTCCCCTATTCCAATGTGGAATAGGAGCTAGCCCAGTAGGTTATCGAGTCAGACTCTCACCCAACGGGTACCGGGATCGAACCTGATAAGACACTCCTGGGCTAGCTCCTTTTGGAGCAAGCCAGCTTTTGGGCGCGGTCGTTTTCGGCCGTGTGATCATTGAGATCTCGCGGTTAAAAATAGTCACGCGGAGTTAGCATGACCCCTGTGCAAGGATGACACGCATAAATCGAGAAATGATCAAAAAAAAAAAAAATTGATCCCACAGGGAATCGAACTCGGGTTCGTGACCGGGAGGGGCGTGGCCGAAAAGCCACACAGTGTTCTGGGAACCGACCGTTGGCATAAGCCAACGTGGAAAAAAAAAAAAAAAAACACAAAAAAACAAAACAAAACAAACGATGAACCAAGCGCCAGATGGCGCGATAAAGGCTGATGGGGGCTTGCAGTCCCCATAACTTGTGACAGGCGTCCGTGTTTACGGGCTACCACTTCGTTTTTTAGCAAGTTTATTTTTTTTTCTTTCTTTATATTTTTCTTAGATTTTCTTTCTTGGACTAGATTTTGTTTGTTTCTTTATAGAAGCCATGCCCGTTCGTTCGACAAACGGGCGGACTTGACATCAACAGGATGAGCAAAATCGGAACGAATCTTCAGGCAGAACTTGGGCAGGTGCAGCAGCTGCACCCCATGCGCAGTCGTCTGTCTCTTATACACATCTAGATGTGTATAAGAGACAGAGGTATGAGAGTTGGGGGACAGAGTAGGAGAATAGGGGAGATGGGGTGTTGGTAATAGATGGTAGGGGGGTGAAGGTAATGAAGGTTGGAGGTAG